TATCTTCATATAGCCTTCATTTCTTCATGCATCTCTGGTGTCCTCTCTTCTTATAAGGACTGTGGTCATTAGATGTTAAGACCCACCCCAATCCACTGTGGCCTCCTCTTAAATGATTTAATAAGCAAAGACCCTACTTGCAAATTAAGGTCATATTCTAAGCTCCAGATGGATATGAATTTTCAAGAGACACTTGCAACCCACTTTATGTTCTGTCACTGAGAGCCAGTCAGGAAAGATGTTTTTCAAAATGTTTTTGTTTAATGAGTATTTGCCAGGGTCAGGAGTGCAGAGAGAGACCTGACCCTGTTCTCAAATGAGCACTCGTCTGGGGACAGACAGGCAGGATAATTCTGGGAAAGGAAGGGACAGGAGCCCAGGGTGAGCAGGATGGAGCAGGGGCTGCTGAGGAGGGTGCATGTGGTGTGAGGGGCAGTGCCGAGCGGCTGGAAGCTTTCCACTTCCTTGTCCCTTAACTTCCAAATCTCAGATCATCTTCCTTTCGTGTGTGATGAAGAGCAAGATGAGGCAAGCCTTAGGATTCTCCACAGAAGCCAGAGAGAGCCCCGACACCCAGGCCCTTCTGACCTGTGCAGAGGAGGAAGGAGAGAACCAGGAGGCCGGGACCAAGGACAAGGTCTCTCCTGGGAAAACCACTGGCCCCACAGAAGTGTTTGCTAGCTGGAGAGGCAGAGAGCCTCGCAGAGGGCTGGGCTTGGGAACACTGGAAGTCCTTCCACCGTTGGCCAGCTGGTCACTTAAAAAGCTGCTGTTTCTGTCCAAAGCTAATGACCTTGAATGCAATGGGATCCTCCATCTTCCCAGTTTTAAAAGTCTATCAAGTTTATTCAGTGATATACTTTTAACAATGTAGGTGTAATAGTCAAATATCCACTTCCACTACTTGATAACAGATGAACTCACATACTACGCCATATATAATATCCATGTATTAGTTTCAAAATTTGATTTCCATTTATATCTTATAAAAATATGTCTGCCCACTTTCACATGACTCTTTGACACCCATATCATCACCTCCACGTGACACAATGTTCCAGAGCCTTACCAAGTCATTTGGTCTGGACTTTGTGAGAATCTGTGTGCAGTGCTGATTCTAGAAATTTATCTTAAGCCACAATGACCCA